ATCAACGGGAAAAAAAAAGTGAAGGAAAGCAGTCCAGCAGTATCAGATCTCAAACTATACTACAAAGTGGTAAACATCAAAAACAGCTGGTGCTGGTTATAAAATAAAGTGATTGATCAGTGGAATAGATTAGTTAAACAATATATAGAAGTAAATGACAGTAACCTAGTGTCTGATAAACCCAAAGAGCCAAGATTCTGAGACAAGAATTCACTATTTAACAAAAACTGCCAGGAAAACTAGAAAATATTTTAGCACAAACTAGGCATAGACTAACATCTATGATAAACTTAAAATATGTACATGATTTAGACATGAAGATTGATAGCATATAAAATTAGGGAATCATGGGAAAAATATTTCTCATATCTATGATTAAGTGAAAAGTTTATGGCAAACAAGAAATAGGATCATAGGAGGAAAAATGGGTATTTTATTATATATAGTAAATTAAAGAGGTTGCATAAATAAAATCAACACAGCCAAAATCATATGGAAAACAGGAAGCTGGGAACATTTTTAGAGCAAGTTTCTCTGATAAAGTCCTCATCTCTCAAATATATAGAGAACTGGAGTCAAACTTATAAAAAGAAGAGGGGAGAATTTAGAACTGAAAATAAAATTTCTTTAAAACTAAAAAATGTTTTTACACATAGGAGAGGGCAGGGATACAAGTTATTGATGTTTTCTTTGTCACCTTTTTAAAAGATTAATTAAGTCTCAGATTGTTTCCATTCCTTGATTTCTTCCTTTCCTTCAGATATTTCATATATTGGTTCCTCAGAGCCTTTACTGTTGTATCTTCTCCAGCACTGAGACCTTCTCCATATAATAATTAGTCCAGTATGTCTGCTTTTCTTACATTTGTCCTATATAGTTCTATTTCTCTCTCCTTTAGGCACTATAATTTTGTATTCCAAGTTGGTTGTTCCACCATTCTTGGTGGGAAATCAATTTATTTAAATGCTTGTTTTCCCTGCAAAACTTTTACATTTTTTGTGTGTGTGTGTGTTCATAGACCCCTTTCCATTTTCATCTTTAAATCTTTCTAGGATGACTTCTTAGTTGGATTAGTTCCTGTGCTTTCTTTAAGTTGCCCTTGAAACCCATTTTTTTTTCTGGTTTATGAAATGATGCTACTGACAAACATGCATCATTCTTCTTAAGGTTTTACAGAAGATTTTTAATCTAATCCTATTTTATTTCTCAGCCATCTCTTTCTATTTGATAAGTGAAAAAAAAAATTCTGACTAAGGTGTTTCCTGTATTCTTTTGGTTCTCCATGTTGTGTCTATTAATTTACTGGCTTTCACTGTTTGTCCAATAACATGTCCCAGCCCAACCTTCACTTATTCATTGTTGGCGTTTTTTTGGCTAAGAGTGAGTGTGAATAGCAATTGTTTCTTTTATGGCCAGAAACTCTGAGGGTCTTCCTTTCCCAGACTGATTGTTTCATGAAAGAAAACTAGGCCATCTTTTACCTTAATTCTTGCCTACTGAATAATATTGAATTTTGATTAACACTAAATACTCGTTGCCTCAGACGAACTGAGACCTGGGAAAGATCTTAGTTTTAAAAGGCCAAGGTCTTCCATTGCATCCAGGGCCTTCGCCAGTCATCTTGACCTATGCCTGGCCACTGGACTCTGATGACTCTGGAGGAGAGAGTTGGGCTGATGACTTTGCATAGCTCTGCCTCACTTAAATCCAATTAACTTTAAAGTCAATGCATCACTGTCCGATGTCATTGGTCCCCTTCAAGAATGAAGGATAAACAATTGACACTGGTTTAATTTATAAATGGTTACATTTTCCACTAGTTTACATTTGTTTAATTTACGTAGTGCTTTATAGTTCATAAAATTCTTCTTCTAATAACCCTCTGAACTTGGTAGCACAGTTATCAGAATAAGAAAACCATAGCAGAGACATTATGTAACATACACAAGGGCAAAGTAAGTAAATAAGTGTTGTTGCTAAAACCAGAAAATGTTCATTCTGCCTCCAAATCCTGGACCCTTTCAGTTACACTGAATTGGTACACTTCAATGGATGAATATTTGACAATTAAGGCTCATATAGCGTCTCACAGTCATAATTCTCCCTACCAATTCTCACTCTGTAGGACCATACATGGAGTGTTTTCTATAGAAGACCATCCCGGGTTTATACTAACTCCAGGGCATCAGTGCCTTGCTTTAAACCCTTTAGTCATATTACTTTCTTGACCTCTGCCTATTTTTCCTACAAGCCTATGCAGTAGGGGGAAAAGGTGGCATTTAGGTTTCAAAGAAACAACTTTTTTTTATGCAGAATATTATTATCGCATAGTCCAGTGTAGAAATAATAATGAAAGCTGTCATTTCTCACTGCTTTAGGATTTATAAAACACTTTATGTACATTGTCCTATTTGGTGCTTATCATGACACTGTGAGGTAGATGCCATAAGTGTTATTGTGTCCATTTTACAGTTGGAGAGAGGTTAGGTAATGTGCCCATGATGATGTAATTAGTAAATATCAGAAGCAATATTATCACCCTCATCTGTCAGGGACTAAAATTAGATACCACAGGTGATGCCACATCATTTATTCCTAGGATCCATTAGAAGTTAACAGAAAGCATCAAGTGTATACACATTGCAATAGTCTTCCAATGGATCTCCCTGCCTCAAACTTCTCTCCACTCCAGAGATATTTGTAAAGTACAAAGCTTGGCACATAGATGCTTAATAAGTGCTTGTTTCCTTTCTCGATTCCTTCCTTGTTTCCTTCCTTTATTCCTTGATTACTTCCATCCTTTTCTTCCTTCATTCCTTATTTCCTTCCTTCATTTTTTATTTTTTCTTCCTTCCTTCCTTATTTCTTTCCTTCATTAGTTCCCTCCCTATTTTCTTCCTTTCCTCCTTATTTTCTTCCTTTCTTCTTTACTTTTTCCTTTATTTTCTCCCTTTCTTCCCTATTTCTTACTTATTTTCTTCATTTATTTTCTTTCTTCCTTCCTTCTTTGATTTCTCCCTTCTTTATTTCCTTTTTCTTCCTTCTTTCCACCCTTCCTTCCTTCCTCCACACCTCTTTTCTGACTTGTATAATATTTTATAATTTTTTTAAATCCACAACTCATTCCTTCATTAGTTCCTTCCTTATTTTCTTCCTTTCTTTTTTTCCTTTATTTTCTCCCTTTCTTCCATATTTTTCCACTTCTTATTTTCTTCCTTTATTTTCTTTCTTCCTTCATTTCTCCCTTCTTTATTTCTTTTTTCTTCTTTCCCTCTTTCCTCCCTTCCTTCTCTCCACCTTTCCTTCCTTCCTCCACACTACCTCTTGTCTGAGTTGTATAACCTTTTAATATTTTTTTTTAAATCCACAACTCATTCATATACATTACCTAACTTGTTCTTCTTATAAATTCTATGAGGTAGGCAGGGCAAGTAGACTTGTTCCATTTTGCCCATAAGCTAGTGAAGTTATGAGAGGTGTGGGAATCTACCCAATCCCCAGAGTTAGGGTATGAACCCAAGCCTTCTGAACCAGGTTTAATGTACAGTCCACTAGGCCTTACCTCCTCAGTAATACAGATAGCATAGGTGGCTATCCATACATGAATTAAGGGCAAAGCTCAAGCCTTCTAACTTCTAGCCATGTACTCTTTTACTTGACATATGGCATTTGTTCCAGGCAATTTGTTTTTTTCTTGTTTCCTCAAACTCATTCCTGAGTTGAAAGAAAAGCAATGGCATGTTTGAATGTGGGAAGGGACTCCTGCTGGAAGCATAAATATATTTGTAACAAACATCTGACCAATGAAGCTCTATCCCCAGAACATGCACAGTGTGCTCAGCTTGCTGTCAGCCCATGTGGAAGTGGCTGGCGACTGAGCGGGAGTTCTGCTTCTACAAAGTCATGATGACATGTAATGGAAGTACCAGGAATGCTGATTTGGAGAATGTCCAGTAACAGAATGTTACTGGTTCCATTCTGCTAACCATGTGGTGAAGAGATAAACTGTTGATTGGCTGCTGGGCCAGAACTGGGGTGCGTTTAAAAGGCCTAAGAGAGACTCTTATTTTCTTTTTTTCCCACCTGGTTATGTTAATACATGTAGGCAAGATCTGTTACATGCAGTGGTTTGCTGGAGCCTGTTTATACAGTCTCAGGAGAATTTAATGTTAAATTTTCAATGTGAGAATTCACATCTCTGAAATTGGCAAATGCTATAACTTAGGGCTTGATTTACTGCTTTGTTGATTATCTAAACATAAGAAAATGATAGAGAAATGTTAATAATGCACATTAAACTTAAAAGTACGTCATGAGTTGTTTTTTTCAGTGCCAGTTGTTAAATATTTATCAGCACATATCTGGTTCTCTGCTTCCTCAGTGAGGAGAGAGACCTCAGGCCTTTATCTCCCTTCTCATTGTGGCACCCATCATGTCACCCATGAACACAGGGCCCTTTTGTTGCTTCTATCTCTGTTATCTTTATTCTGCCTTTTTCAACTGAAGGAATATTATACATTTCTCTGACCTCATGAGTTGCAAGAGTTTAGATTAGGAAGTATCAAAAGTGTGGGAGCCAGAGTCCACATTGGGACTTATAAAGAGCAGAGCACAAATGAGGCAGAAGCTGAAGAACAACCAGATAGACTCAGCCCTGAAGAAGCAGAGATGCAGACCCATCCAACCATCAGCTAAGCTGCATTTGGAGGTGATCTTGAAAAGATAAATGTTCATAGCAGTCCCATTAAGTTTGAGCTTCACTTACCCAAAGTCCAAGGTGGAATGAGGGAAAGTCTGTCTCAAGATGTTCAGGAGAAATATTTGTACATCTATCCTTTTAATAACTTTGTAAAAACTCATCAATGTTAATTGCTTAAATGAAACTGTGACAATAGAGACCACTGGGAAGAACACATTGGAATGGGGACTTGAGTCAATAATATTAAAGAAGAATCATCCCCAAATCCCCCAGGGGTACCTCTAAAACCATGAGAGGGGAAATGTAGCCTTGCACTTAGAAACTTGACTCATCAGTGTATAAGCTTGGATAAGAATCTTCAGAGAGTTCAAATGCTACATACACTAACACTTTTTTTGCATTTTTGCAAAATAGAAATCTTCCAGATGAGACAAAGTGGAGAAATTTAGCAAACAGTGGACTGTTGACCACTAAGAGGAAATTTGCAACATTCCTCAAATGCAAAACAGATCAGCTTCTATCCAACTTCTTGAGGTTCATAAGACTATAACATGTCTGTAGGGAACCTAGGAAATACTTCCTTTAACTCCCCCCTATCTCCTGAATACACTGAAAATCCAACTAGGTCCTGAATTAACTAACTCATGTGGAGAGGATAAGCAGGCCCCCAGAGGGAAGTAGGTTATGAATGACTGTGGGACATAGTATTTGTTATATGACATACTGAAGTTTGGGGCCAGATCACTGGAGTGTCCAAACTGATCTTCAAAGGGTATGAAAGCTCAGTTTCTCAAATTGATACATAACATTCAGCCAACTGGTTTAAGAGAGAATTCAGTTCCCATAAGGCAACCCCTGGGAATGAGATTGTGGTTCCTAATGTACGTCTATGAATGTATTTTGTAATGAACCAAATCGGAGTTAAGAAATCAGATTTCCTGAACTAGGTGACATCATTGAATGAACATAACTCATGCTTGCAACACTAAGGGAGGGATGCCAACAGTGGTTATTGGAGGCTCCTTTCGAAGGTTGAGGAAAATCCTTAAGAAAATGTCTCAATGGTTTAGCAAAGCCAGCTGTTTCCACTTCAAAAAAAGAAAAATAATCAACAAAGTAGACACAAAATAAAACAAAGCCATACAAAGTCATTGGATGTTCATTCTAAATCATGCAAAAATCATATTGTAGATGGGGTGGAAATTTTGGTTGTTTGTGGTCATGGTGTTTACAGACTTAGAGTGTTCATCTTTCGAAAATCATGTTTTGAGGCTACATGGTATAATGGAGAGAGCCCAACATTAGGAGCCAAAAGACCTAGGTTTATTCCAGCTTTTCGATGGACTCAAGTTTGACAAATGATCTTGAGTGAATCATTTCCTTTCTTTGGACCTCAGTTTACTCTTCTGTAAAATGAGGGGCTTGGATGAGATGATATCTGAGGTTCCCAAGGTCCAGAGGTGTGCTAGAGCCAGCTCATGCAGACTCTTGAGAACCAATGGTCAAATTTTCATCATGAGCATTTACAGCCTGGAAATCAGCAAATGTTCCGAATCAGGGCTTGATGTAATGTGTTGATCATCTAGCCTTAAGAAAACAATGGAGAAAATGTTAATAATGTATATTAAACTTAAAAGTGTGTTATACGTATATTTTTCCCAGAAAGTCGTAGTTAAAGATGTACCACCATACCACTGAAAATGGCCCTTCACACTAATATTTTGTAATTCAAAATTTCATAAATGACATGTGATATTCTCTCCTAGTTCATATATAATAAACTCTGACTGATTCTCCTATTCCTTATCGACCTTTTTTTTTTTTTTCCCTTCCAGTAAGCCACCCCTGATTGTGACTACGGCTACCAGTGGAAAAAACAATGGATTTAGACTCCAGAGACCTGAATTGAAATCTTCCTTTCAGGGGCAGCTAGGTGGATAGAGCACTGGCCTTGAAGTCAGGAAAACCTGAGTTCAAATCCAGCCTCAGACCAAACACTTGACATTTACTAGCTGTGTGACCCTAGGCAAGTCACTTAACCCCAATTGCCTAAAAAAAAAATAAAAATTAAAAAAAAAAAGAAGTCTTCCTTTCAGTTTGGTGACTAGGTGCAAGTCACAACCTCCCTGGCTCTAAATAAGCTTGAATTTGTCCTCAAAATGGTAATATCTTTGCACAGGGTTGGTGTGATGAGAATATTTTGTAAACATTAATATGTAAATGAGAGCTATTTGGTTCAGTTAAACTATATAAAATCTAGTTGAATTAGTGTGATCATTAAAATGAGTTATCACCAAGAAGTCACTTGGATCACTATATGTTTGATAATGACAGGCAGTGGAGTATAATGGACAAAGAGCTAGTCTTGGAGTCGGTGTTCAAGTCTTGCTCCTACCACATGTACCAGCTCTGTATTCTTGTACAAATCACTTTACATTTTAATATCCCAAACAACTCTTTAATATAAATCCATTGCCACTTTGCATTAGTAGACAGTTTTTCACATCAGAAGCTGCATTTGCCATGGTAATCATAGGACTAAACAAGAGAAAGGGTTAATAATACCTTCTGTTTATAAAGGCCATAAGGTTTGCAAAGTACTACCCTCAAAACAACCCTGGGCAGTAGAAAGTACAAGTGTTATTATTCCCATTTTATGGATAAATATCTAGTTTTTAAAAGTGTATTGAATAGTTTGGCTTTAACTTATCCTTATGTGAACTACTGCTCACAAATCTCTTGCCCTCTTGTCCAATCATCACTCATACTTCTCCGAATCCCAATCCTGAATTATTCCTACCATCAACCTCATTTGATACTACTCACCTGTTGCTGAACAGAGGTGGAGGTAGTCACACAATCATATTGACTGGCTTCACTTCTAATTTAAGCCCTCTGATCTTACCTGGGCACTCACTGTCACAGGACTCTCTTTCATATTGCCCTCAGGGTCTTTTCCAAACTGTTCCTCCTCTCTTCATGCATCTTCTAACTACTTCTTTGAGAATGAAGGAATAACCACCACCACCACCCTTACTACTACTACCACTGCTACCACTACCACCACCACCACCACTACCACTACCACTACCACTACTACTACTACTACTACTACTACTACTACTACTACTTCTACTACTACTACTATGTGCTCTGAGGACTTTACTTCTTACTGAGGAATTTATCCAGATTCTTCCTTATTCTTTCTCAAGGATCTTCTCTCCAACTCCTGCCCCTTACATAAAGGAATTTTATATATATATATATATATATATATATATATATATATATCTATATATATATATATATATATATATATATATCTATATATATATATCTATATATATATATATATATATATATATATATATATATATATATAGATATATATATATATCTATATATATATATATATATATATATATATATATATGCTTTAGACTATGAGCTCCTTGAAAGCAGGACTTTCTTTTGTCCAGTGCCTGGCACATAGTAGGCAATTAATAACTAATACATATTTATTGACTGACAGACTCTTTTCTCAATCACTCTAACTTCTGAATTCCTCAGTCTCAAATTCCATGACCTACTCCTCCACTCCAACACAGCCACACAGGAATGGTAACCACATCTTTTATCTTACCAAGACCTACAAATGCTCCACTTTTGTGATCAGAAACACTGACATTTCTCTATCTTATTTTAACCTCCCATCATTCTATTTTCCCCTGTATCTTAACTCTCATAAAGCTATTCTTTGGCCTCATTATGACCATCCTTCCACCTATCCTTTTACCCTTCAATATTTTTCAGATCCTTTCTTTAATTTTGCTTTCCTCCATTCCCAGTCTTGATACTATAGTTAACCAGTTCAACTCCACACTCCATTCTCTTCATAAATGCCTTACTGCTTTGTCTTGTAACCATTTATGCTTCATCAAAACCCACCGCTGGGTTACTCCTACCACCTACCTCTTCCACTCTTATATTTATGCTGCCAAATGAAATTGGAGGAAATCACACAACCAAACTGATTAGGTCCACAAGAGATTTATGCTATCCAACCTCAGTTGGGTGTTCTTAGAAGCAAAGTAATCTTTTTACTCTCTTTTAATTGCTTATGCCACCACCACCACCCACACAGAAGCTGTTCCAGATCTTTTCTTCTGCCCTGAAACCTCTTTCCTGCTTCTCCCACCATCTCAATTAATACCTTACCTTTTACCTTGCCAAGAAAATAGAGACCATTTATCATGAGTTCCCTCTCACCTATTCTATTCATTTCAATTTTTGTTGTTCAGTCATGTCTGACTCTTTGTGATCCCATTAGGTGTGTTCTAGGCAAAGATGCTGGAGTGGTTTACCTTTTCTTTCTATTACTCATTTTACAGATAAGAAAACTGAGGCAAAGAAGGTTAAGTGACTTGTCTAGCTAGTGTCTCAAGGCAAATTTGAACTTGGGTCTTCCTGACTTCAGGCCCAGTACTCTATCTATTATACCACCTTCCTGCCTTTCATTTCAATTACCCTTGACATATTGACATCACATCCTATTCTGTCAGCCTAAAGGTTAACAGCTTTCAATAATAAGGTAATCCCTCTCCATAACAAAGTGAATTCCTCTCTATATGTTCTTGGTCCCATAGCCTCCCATATTCATAAACATATTGGCAACCCCAATCATCCCCTCTTCTATAATTTTCTCTCTCTTCCTATTTATTGTTTTGTTCCCCAATGCCTACCAACACACCCAATTCTTCCTCATCCAAATAAAGAGGGTGGGTGAAACCTTCTACTAGACCATTCCCTCAAGTTAAAATGCTATTTCTCTTCTCCCTTCCTCATGCAAAAACTAAGAAAAAAAACATTTATATTTATATATGCTTTCAATGCTTGTCATCTCACTATTTTCTCAATCTGGCTTCCAACCTCATTACTAAGCTAAAATTGTTTCTCTTGAAGAATTTCTAATGATTGCTTAATTGCCAAATCTGATGGTCTTTCTCAGTCTTCATCTTTCTTGATTTTGCTATAGCACTCTCTCCTTCTAGAAACTCTCTTCTTTCAGTTGTTACAACAGCCTAACAACTCCTCCTACCTGTTTAACTCCTTCTTGGTCTCCTTTGCTGGACCATCATCCATGTCATGCCCCTTAACTACAGGTGTACTCTAACAATCTGTCTTTAGTCTTCTTCTCTTCTCTATCTACACTCCCTTGGTGACATCATTATCTCCTATGGACCTAATTTTGATCTATGCAGATAACCCCAATGTCTATATATCTAGCTTTAGTTTTTCTCCATCCTGAATCATGAATATCCTATATGGCATCTAAAACTGGTTGTCCCATTATTTCAAACTTAACAAATCCAGCTTGTCATTGTTCAACTCATTATCTAACCCCCAAATCCACCCTTTACAAAACTTCTTTATTTTCTGTCTGTAATCCAACCCCTTGTATTTTACAGATGAGGAAACTGAGACATAGAGCTGAATTAGTAATAGCCAATAACTAGCATTTATGTATTATTGTCAAAGCACTTCATAAATGGTATCTCATTTTATCCTCACAACAACCTACAAAAGAAAGTATTGCAATTATCTTCATTTTACAAATAAGGAAAAAGAAGTGAAGTAATTTGCCCAGGGTCACATAGCTATTAAATGTCTGAGGCTGGATTTGAATTCAAGTCTTCCTGTCTCCAGGCCCAGTACTCTATTGACTTTGTCATCTTGCTGCCCAAATTACTTGCCTAAGGTGACATAGGAAGTAAGCATACAGCCACGTCTTCTGAATGCAAGTTCAGCAATAAGTGGGCATGTTCAGTGCACATAGCATTGCATCACAAGGTAAAACCTATGAAATGCACAGGAATCTGACCTGAGGGGGAAAGAGACAGGACAGGTAACATTCAATGAAACTGGGGAAGAATAAGACTAAATCAAGGCCTGGATACTTTAAGACATTGTCAGGACAGCAGTCCTAGTTTAGTGAAGCACCAAAGATAGGTACCTGGCAAAAGAGGTCAATGATGAAGGACAATGACCAATCGATAAATATACATACATTTATTAAGCACCTAGGGAATACTAAGCACTGAACAACATAGTTACCTACAAAGAACCAAACATACAAAGAATAAAATAATTCCTACTCTCAAGGAGCTTACATTCTAGTGAGGAAATCAACAAGTATGTCTATGCATCTATGTAAAATAAAAATAAATAGAAGAAAATCAACACATGGCAATTCAGTATAAGAGGGCACCAGCAGTTGGTAGGATCAGGAAAGGCATTGCGTAGAAGGAACATGCTTGTTCCATGTCTTAAAGGAAGAAAGGGTGTCTAAGAGGCAAATGAAACGGAGGTGTGCATTCTGTGCATGGAGTTGGCCAAGACAAATACATGGAGATGGTAAATGGGGTGGCTCTTCTAGATAAGGAAAGTCATTTGAATGCATCATAGAGAGTGGGAAGGGGAATGATTCATAATAAGGCTGGGATCAGAGATGAATTTCAGTGAAGGGTTAGTATGCCTGGCAGTGGTGATGGCTAAGTTATATATGCACTGATGAGGGCTGAAGTACA